CGGTTTTTATATTCTTGACTATTTTAGTCAACTGCAGGTAAGGGGATAAACTCGAATAAAAAAAAGGATAAACTCGAATAAAAAGAGCGAATGTTAAGATAATTTTGATAAACGCAAACAATCTAATCGCTTATAAATGACACAAAAAAAAGGATTTGCGCAATTTACGAACGTTTGAATTCTGGATTTCTTATCTGTCGATATTTGAAAAGTGCGTTGCAAAATCTCAGGGTAGGTATTTATCATTTGTTATTTTTAACAAAGCGGAGAGCGATGTGCAAAATTCACAAACGTTTGAAAATTCTAGATTCCTTATCTGTCGATATTCGAAAAAAAAAAAAAAAAAAGAAACGTTTGCGATTTGTGTGTTTTTCCGCTAAATGACGTTTAGCGTGTGTAATATGACACGTGGCTTACGGACGAGATATACGTGCAAAGACAACGTTTAATCGCGAAATCCGGAACGTCCGATCGACATACACTTAATGATGCGAAATGTCTTCAATTAAGTGTATCACAAGGTATCGACATATCGAGTACAAGATAACGAGGTACAACCGTCATGTCACACGATCGATATTGCAGTTCCGGAGATCCCTTTGAACGCGTGTGTACCACGTGTGTACAAGCGCATATAGAACAGAACGAATAACACAGAGACGCGTATTTGTAAACGGCAAACGGGTTTGATTTAAAATTAACCGTTCGCAGATAATCGCACGGTTATGATCGCAGATTGAAACTCATATGAATCACTAATTGCTCACAAGTGGATTAGATAATTATTGCGCGCGGGAGTTTATGATATGTAGTAAATGTAAAGTAGTACACGTAGTTGTGGATGCGCATTACGGTATTATCTGCTATGTGTACACAAATTTAATGAAATAATCACGTGCTTACGCTGTCCGTTAAATTTTCACTTATTTCAGCAAACAAAACAGTTGTGCAAGAATTTCTAAAACATTGAACGATTAAAATTGTTTTGATTCCTTTAACACTCCTTAATTTTTCATTCTTTTTTCTCTTTTTTGAACTCCGTTGGCAGATGATCGGTAACGTGTACGCGCACGCAATGAGCTTTCCGGTTGTGTTTTATTTAAGTAATGAATCCAAGTGAGGTCATAAACGAGCAGAAATAGGTGTTAGAAAAAAATAAATATAATTATTAAAAAGAATTAACTACTACGTTAGCAACTCGTACAACAAACGTTTTAACTTTTTACTTGAGTCATCTTCAGTGTTTTAACAAAATAAAATAAATACGCTATGCTGGTAATGTAGATGAAGGTGTTTTAGAAATGCAGTCTTCTTGAGTGTAAAATTTCATCCTCGAGTCCTAGATGAGGTGATAGATCTGCCTACAAATCGTCACTCCCTACGTATAATCCCGTAACTCCAAAACGCAAATTTTAGAGGAGAGCAGTTTAAAAGCTTAAAGCTTCATATAGTTTCTCTAGTTAAGGAATCTTTCGATTTTAAATTTTTACCTTACTTATGAATATTTTTTTTAAATATTTGGTGACCATATAGAACATGACTTTCTAAGTGTCACTATGCAATAAACTGAAAATCCCGTATGTGACACTTATGTAATTATACGTAGGGAGTGACGAAATGTCGAGTTGGAATACACTGATATATCGAATATTATATACAAAACACAAATTACTCACAGGTAAAGATCTACGGTGTTTTATTTATTTACTCGCACAAAAAGACTTACCTCATTTTTATGCAAAAAAAGAATGGTCGTCCTTTCAGCAATGCTGTAATTGGCAACGATCAGGTGTAATTTTGATCAGTCTTTTTGCGAAAAGGTTAAATATACTTTTATCGCGTAATATGTAAAATAATGTGTTCTTTGTGCAAACAAATTCTGTGTTAAATTTCACCGTTAACACTGATCGCTCGATGTTCCTTCAAAATAATCACAATAATCATTTCCACATCGAACGAAAATTACAGTCAGTAATGAAGTAATTAATAACGGGCAGGGTGGGAGAATTTCCACGTTATGTTAATAATACGAAATCACGCTTTCCGAGTGATATATCAATTAGTTCTGTATACTTTGCGAGCCATTACGTGTATAAATTGGCATCGATTTAATTATCAGATATATCTGCTATTGGCAGGTGCGTGAACATTCGGCTTTGATCTAAATTCTCTAACAACCAACGACGGCGTCGTACGTCTTAGAGCGTAAGAGAGCAAGCAAACAACGTCCTCTCCGGAGAACGTTTGGCAGATCAATGTGAGATGCGCACGTGTGTATATATATATATATATGTGTGTGTGTGTGTGTGTGTGTGTACACTGTACGTCAATAATCAATTAAATTATCGGCAAACGCGTCGTAGACACCGCCGTTCTAATTTGCGCTTCGACTGTCCAAATCGTAATAGCGACGCGCAGTTATAGGGCCGAATCCCGTTCGCTAATTATTTGCGGCAGGCAGAAAACGCGATCTAAACGGGCGATACCGCGTCGCCCTGTGCCGCGCTCTCTCGTGCGACGACCGTTAATGGTATTTCGGTAACACCGGGTCGCAAGTGTGCACTAATTAACGCCGTGTCGATGGCAATGCTACATGTCCTCGCGCGCCAAGAAATAGGCGCGCGGCGCTTATATGTACATCCGCGTGTGTGACGCGCGCGCGTCAGATTGTATTTACAATCCATCAAAACGCGATAAATCAGTCGCGATAAAATTATTTGCAAGTAGCAAAATCCGTGCGACTGCATATCGCGTCGACCGTATATGCAAAATTCAAATATATTTGTCACGTGTATTAAATTGCCGTAAATGTTTACTACGGCACACGTAGAAATAGACACGCGCAACATATTTTTCAAAAATGTTTAAAACTTTCAAAAACGAGTGATAAAAATAACAGTTACGAAAATAAAATTATGTATAATTGTCAGATTCACGCGTTTGCTAATATTTATTAGAATTTATTAAATCTCGTTAAATTTATTAAAATGAGTAATTATCAGGAAAATTATGTTTGATAATATATCATTATGTAACGAGTTGTGCGCGCGTCTGTGTGTGTGTGCGCGCGAAAACATGACGCGAAAATTGTCATACATTAATATTTATTACGCGCTTCTGATCCTTCGATCATTGTGTGTCTCTCGCGCATTAGGTGTATATCGTTAATATCTGTTCTTCTAATAGCGGAATGCATAAATAAACATTTGTAAATACGCGTGCACGCGATGACCGATGAAAGCAGCGATTATATTCGCGGATTTGTTCACGTTTGCAAACGAAATCTCTTCGTATCTCCATCAACTCGTAAAGAGTTGAGAGAATAAGCGGATTGATTTCGAACCGCAGAAATTTCACGTATACAAAGCCGTCTATCTCTGTTTTGTGTGATTCCGGGGTTTATTCCCATTCTTTTGCTAGGATTTTTTGCATTATTCGACAAATTTTCGCTTGTTAAATATATATAGGACTCTTTATGTACGTGAAGAGAGGGACGTATATAGATTTGGATAGTGACTGATAACTAACTGGAGCACCGTTTGCGTGAACGTACACGTATCTCTGTGTATGTGTGTGTGTGTCGCTTTCCCGACGGGCGCTGGACCAAAAAATTCGAGGTATTTATTATGGGTAAATTGCCAGTCGAGTTACCCCGCGAGAGATATTAAATCGCGTGACGGCACAACGCGTCGTTTTCCGAGCAAAATCGATTAATTAATGTCGATTGATGCGAATTCCTTTGGTGTGGATATATATTCACGATCTCTAACTGCGATATAAACGAAGTCGAGTGGAAGCTGTCTGGTGTGTCGGACAAGTTAGTTTCGAGGCTTCTATTTGCGATCAATTCCGCTCAGGTTAATTACTCTTTGTCTAGTCTATGCGGCAAGACGGAGGAGCACGTTGTTCTTCTTTATTTTTGCGATGAATCGAGAAAGTGCTGTCTGCGTGAGTTTTAAAACCCATCTTCTTCAGCTGCAATAACCATAAAGCGAACAGACAATTTCTCTTCCCACCTCGTACTCAGATCGATGCGTAACAGTAATACCGAAGAAAAAGATCATTTATTTTCTCATTTTCTCTCCGCAGCGAGAAGACTATATCCGTTTAGAATTCTTTTCTATTAGAAACACTGTGCGTTTTTTTTTTTAATCTCTCATTCTTTGAACAATAATGTAATAGACGTCTTATTATTAAGATTAAGCACTTATTCTCTAATTTTTACTTATGATAAAAAAAAAAACTGCTATTTTTTCTCTCATTCTTCTAAAAAGTATTTTTTTCGTTCATTAATTTTTTTTAAATATATTTTTAAACATGGTAAGTTTATTTGTTTAATATTTTGTTATCATCTTTTCTTTTCGGAAGCGTTATCTTTTCGAAGAACGGACACGCCAACGCAAGACCGAGCTAATTGAGTGGGGACTCAATTTCGAGTGGGTCTCTCCTATGTTTTCTTTAGGCGACGCACGTACAACGGAAACCACCGAGGGCTGACTGGTCGTCCAGGATTGTGCCAAGAAAAAGGAATACGTAGACGCGCGTGTAGTTTTACTCTTAAGTCGATTAAGTTCCTTTTTACTTGACCCTCCGTCTCCAGGCGCCGAGACAGAAAATATTTCGAGAGAGAGGCGGTTTTAAAATTTTTCCCGGGGTGCTCTTCTCTCGCGGAAACGTGACCAAGTGGCGATCGAAGATTTTATCCCGCCCGAAAACAATAGCGGCAAATTGGAAGGCAAGGCAATACCATGTGGACTTCCGAGGCACGTCGTCCTACTCTCGCACGAGAAGAGAGCCAAGTCCGTCTTTTCTGGTTTAAATATTGATTCCGCAGATTGGGACGAGATCAACTTAGAGAATTCTCTCTAGAGTTTTCACATAATATCTGTTTTGACAAATATTGTGAATCGCAACAAACACAAGTGTCAATCGCGCGATAAAACAAGGCGTAAAAAGAATGCGTAATATGTTACTATTTTATTATTTATTTATGTTTGCAGCCATTTGTCGAGTGCTCTCATGAAGTCATCAGTCAGCGGAGAATATGAAGACCGATTATTTATCGATAATCGCTAGGCTGTGCCCGATGCTGATACTGTTCGGCCCGGTTACGGATGTCCAATCACTTGACATACGTGAGTAATACCAATTTGCAATAAGTAAAGACTAAAATATTACACGCACACATTTATGATACACACGGTATAATAAACATTGATTTTTGATTTAATATTGTTTGCAAAAGATGAGACTGACTTTATTGTAAAAAAAATTTATATCAAAACCCACACGTCGATATAAAAAATTCTTCGTGCTAAAATAAACCCCGAAGTTTCTCCGAACGAAATGACAGACCAATAACAAAGAAAGCTCCAGCGCAGTCAGCTGCATAAGAAGTCAAACGATGTGTTTCCGAGCGAATTCCGGGTTGTTGCAGCTGCGGAGAGAGCCCATTTCTGGGCTTGCAGTGGTACTATCCTCACCGCACCGCCGGCGGCTTTCTCTCTATCTCCTTAGCCCGCTCCTTCCCGGCTGTCAAATTTTTCATCGGGAGCAGGTGATTTCCGAGTTTTTATTTTCCTCCGGCCTGCACCGCGCGATGGGGGTGCTATCACTCTGAGGTAATGACTCGCTATTCTCCATCCGCCCGAGGGATCAATTATTTTGAATCTAATGCGACAGGATAAATTGCATCCCGCGAAAGCCTCCTTGCACCATCCTCTCTTTCTCTCTCTCTCTCTCTTTCGCGTTTCTCTTCGATTCCTTCATCCCTTCTGCCGGGGTTACTAGCGAGCGGAGCGATTTTGCGTTAAGAGGCGTGCTGCTACCTTCGGAAATTACCCTCCTCATTATCCCGAGCTGTACAAGCCGATTTATATCTCGACAAATTAGTCAGGAAGCAACGTGTATGTTCATGCTTTACATTTTTTTTTCTAAAAATTTGTACGTTGAAAATCTTATTGTCAGAAATCTTCACTTTATAACACAATGCGTATTATATAAGAATTTTGTTTATAATAATTTTTACAAAAATTATTTTACTTTTTCAATTTCTAATGCGTTTATAATTTTGTTTTATATAATTTTAACGAATGCCATTGTGCGGATCTGTTTATTGTGTGTGTTAATGTACTGCTCACACAGAAATTTATTTCATTCGATATAAATATTATATATTTACGCCACGCCGCGCGCCGTATGATATATGCGAGCCATATATCATTTGTAATGAAATCAATATGTTTGTTATATGCAAAAACCTGGCACTGAAAACCGCGTGATTATTTATCAGCGGAAATGTTGGAAACGCGTGCACATAAAACGACGCAATCTTGACTTCGGAGAGAATCGCGTAAAATTGTAAATATTTTATTCGAATAAAAATACTCTTAAAAAAAAAAAAAAAAAAAAAAAAAAATTCCAAGCAATCAAAGAAGCATCGGATGTACTGAAAACATCGAAAAAGTTTAAATCGAAAAGCTTCGCGCAATAGTGTATTCAAGTATTCGAGTCGAGACGCTCCGATGATTTCGATCAAAGACGATCGTTGATTTGCGTTCGAGATGTTCGAGCGAGGTGGTACAGCGTCTTTTTTTTTGCGACGCGCAAAACTTCTCGGAATCCACAACGAAACTCTTTCTTTTTGTCAATCGATTATCGGCATATAAAGCGCGCGCGCGCGCGCGCTATGGTTTCCGGAAGATCGTTCAAGCAGCTTAAAAAGTTCCCCGAGATTATTGATGTTTCCGCGAAACCCGCAATAAAGAAGCTCCTGTCCCCATCTCCGCTCGACTGTAATGCGATCTGCCGTGATGTACGTGCTTTAAATTACCTTGCACTTTCGCGGCGAAACACGCGAGTTTATATCAAAAACACGCACCGCAATCTTATGACTCCGCTCCGCGGCGTGTTTTAGGTCGTGTTTCGTTCAAATAATAAATTTATTTTTATAAAAACAATTTATTTTCTCGTAAAGAAAAGAACTTTCGAAAATATATTTATCAATCGCAAAGAGTAACAATCGCGCTAATAAATACACCAGAGAATGCATGTATATATACGCTTGCGACATCGTTACGACGTGTAGGGCCGTTGTGTCATATTTTACAAAAGGTCAGCGCCATTACTCTTACACTTTCCTCGTGGTAACGACTTCCTCGAGAGACGACTTAATGGACGAAAGGTCGTAGAAGCGAAGGAAACGACGAGGAACATCTAGCACGTAGAAAACACCGTTGGTACAAATACCCTCCTCTGCCCTTCCCCTCGCCACGATTTACGAACGTTTCTTCGCTTAAATCTATTAAAACAATTACTTAAGCTCAAAAATACCGTTTGTACAATAACCGTGATACGGCTATCGGTTAAGAAAACAAAACTTTGTAACGGTGATTGTCGGGATCCCGAGAGTTGGGTAACGTCATTACAAAGCTCTTTCCGCAAGCGATAAGTTAATGGAAATAAGATCTTTAGACAAAAAAAAAAACAACGCGGCAAAAGGCAGATTGCAGAAAGATATTAAGGGAGAAAGGACGAAGATTGGAAGGGCAAGGAGACGGGTGAGACCATTGTTGTTGAGCTTTCGCCCCGGTACCAGGTTTCTGCTGGCGTTTCCCTCGTTATGGTAAATGGTCTGTCTTCGTGGTTGGGCAAACAGTTACACAACGATAAGTGCTGGCGTCGGGCGTAGTCGGCCGCCATCTCGAGACGGTTTCGAGGACCTTTGCTCTTTGGCCTTTGGGCGCGCACGGGGAGGTTGTTCCAAGACTGTCGAGATTTTCTAAAAGGTGTCCAGTGAGCTCTAGATGACTGCTAAAGATGCACAAAGGCCGCCATTGTTCGCGGACGAATCATTTCATTCTGTTCAGACGTGTAGATGACACGGACAAATGAATGTTGTTATTTCAAGCACGTCCGCCGTAATAATCTACGACACATTTTTATATTTACAATGGGACGTGAAATTTTAGACAGGGTAGTGCGGATGTTCCAAGCAAAACCTCAATAATTCTAATAATTGTCAAAAAAAAAAAAAAAAAAAACTAACATAATAAAGATCAATTTTAATTGTAGCAAAATTTAGACGCAAAATTCGATTGTGATGAAAACTTGATCAATTTTGTTTGGAAATCTTGTTTCGAAATATTTTTGACTGTGTCAAATACAATAAAGATCAATTTTAGAGAGAGTAAAATCTGTGACGCGAAACTTGGTTGATCGAAAAGATTGTAAATCTTCTCTCGAATTACTTTCGGCCGTCGTCGTCCCGTGATAACAATCGGTTTAACATTCAACACAGCGATGCTTACTAAGCGTAATCGCCTAAACTTTGCTTCCAAGTACTTCCCGGGGTTAAAAAAAAAAACCACTTTATTATTCCGAACGTCTATTTTCTCATGCACGAGAATCCGTTCGGGAGTGATCTATACATTTTCTTCGACGGCGGCCAGCTTTCATAAGTCGACCAGGGACGTTTAACAACGTTATAACTTGAGTAACTAGGGCAAATTTGCCGGCAAGGGAGATTTCTACACGTCGTTCTACTTTCTCGCCGATAACAAATTAGCCAAGTTCAATATTTGACTTGGTAATGATTTCGGCGCATCGTTCGCATTACTTACACGACCTATCTATAATATATATATATACCCTAGACGTATATATATATAGCGCGCGGTGACAATTTGCTTAACTCGCAAGAAAAACAGATCGCATAATGTGTATTATCGGTGCGTGAGGAAACACTGTGTGTGAAACACTGGTTTCCAAAACTCTTAGAACCGCGAGATTGGGTATTTAATTTTTTTCCCGATATATCTGCACTTGTGTGGATATGCCTTTTATAATTCGAAAAAAAAAAAATACTGCAGAATTTTATTGCAGCATCAAAGCCAAAAAAAAACTTTTACGAATTTGTGTTCGTTTATTTATAATTTTCAAAAGTCCATACACACATTCGAATAATATAACGACGTCAAATAATAACGTTATTTCGCATTTTGAACGAGATTTTTTAAAAATATTGCACTCTACTATCAACAACTTTTATCGCATATATGAACGAATGCAGCGATTTCACAAATTAATATTAGCCGCTTATGACCATTATTGGCTTTTGTATTATTTAATGGCTTTTATTATTGGTGATTATCACCGGAGAAATTGTATTTATGTATGTAATATCAAACGCGCGAGCGCGCGCGTTCATTTTTCATGCACGCATTTATATCAACTGTGTTTAAAGGATTATATTGAACTATTAACGGGTATATAGAAAGATGACTCGATAATTAACAGAAACATTGTATGTATTACATTAGATGATATTGCAATTCTCCCTTCCCGTATATTTCTTTCGATTTTGATTAAAACCCAATTTTTCCTCGCGCCGCCCCTCACGTCGTTGCTAATAGATCAAATTCGTTACAGTTTGACGATGACTTCGACGCGCCTTCTTTCGAGTAAAAAATTCCCATTCTTTTTCTCGCGGCCACCCTCGCTTTCTCACCCGTCATCCCCGTTGGGCGTCCCGATATCGCGCGCGCGTCCGACCTTTTTCCCATTTTCCACTAGGCGATTCTTCCGCCTAGCCTTTCAATTTGAAATGCAGAAGAGTTCCAAGCATTCCCAGCTAAATCCGGAATCGTGTTGTCGTCGGTTAATTCACGATTCTCCCGTGCTATTTTTCGCGCGTAACGTCGCTTTTCTCTTGTCAATCCGCCGTTCTATTGATGAAGTGAAATCAACTACCTGAAAACAGTCAAACGAGAATAATATCGGGAATAATAATTGAATTTAGTATTTAACACTATTTCTTATGAAAAAAAATGACTAGGGAAATACTTTGATTTAAAAAGTAAAGTTGATATATTTATTTTAAGTTTTATCAATTCTTTCTCTCTCTCTCTCTCTCTCTCTCTCTCAAATAGATAGCTTAATAATATTTAATGGATAAAAGTAACATTTGTTACTTAAAAAAATATAAAAAAATATATTAGTTTATAAAATAAAAAATTTATATGTAAATTAAAATATATCTAACATAAGACCTATATTATATATATATAGCACTTAAAGTGTAAAAGATGATATTTGTATAACTTGTGTTTAATATTAAACACTTTGTAATAATATC